AGAATTGATTGATGAAGAAGGCAAGGCAAGGAAGAGGAAGGAAAAAGAAAGGGCACTTGTTGGGTTCGATATTGAATTGATTGTTTGATTGAATTGATTGTGTGAATGAAAGAAGATTCGAGAAAGAAGATGTTGGAGGAAGAAGATGATGCAAAATTGTAATTTGGTGGGCCCCACTTTTGTTTTTGTGTTGGGTATGACCATGTCATCATTTATCCCGTTGTACAACTAACGTGGCTTAAATTTTTGATATATCTGTGAGTTAACGGACGATTTTTAACGGAAGGACCAAGTTGGGGTAAAATGGGTAAACAGTAGGGACCAAATCAGGGATTTTTTTAGTTCAAGGACTAAATCGGGGGTCCGTACAGTAGTTTGGGGACCAAAAAGGGGTTTTAACCTAAAATAAATATTGAAACCAATTTCAAAAATTTTCTTCAGATTAATCAATAAATGTTACAAAAATGTTTAAATCAATTACTATTCAAATTACAACTACATAAATCAAAAAATAAAAATCCTTAGCTATTTTACTGGAGGAGGTGGCTGAGTTGGTTGCTGTTCTGTTGGAAGAGGTGGCACTTCTTCATTAGAGGGAACTGGATGGACTTCCACTTGCCCAGGAGGTTGGCTCTCCTCAACTTCAGCACCTTCTGCCTCTGCTTCCTCTTCCTCCACTGTTATGAACTCGAAGTCGAAGTTTGGAGGAAAAATGGTGTGTCCTTCTTCATCATGTTCCCACCTCAGTTAATCTGAGGTCGAAAGTCTGCTGACATGCTTTCACCGTTCTCCTCCACCCTTTCCTCTTGTTCGCCAAAGGTGATCTTTGTTATATCCACTTCAAGGTGCTCAGCGTTCACCTTCTTTCTACAATCTGTGAAGGTGAGGATCGCAGTAGGCAGCCGGTAGAGGTTGACAATGTTGTCAAATGAGCTGGAGTTGATGAAGTTGCCGATATGCTCCTCTATCCCATTGTGTACCAATAGTTGAACATTCTTCTTGAGCTCGACCTTGGATTCTCTCATTCTTTTTATTTCTTCTTCTTGTGCTTCATTCTCTTCTTCGCTCATTTTTCTCTTCCTCTCTTTGAATGAGAGAATCGTCTTCAATGAGTCTCTCTCCTTTTGCAAGCTCGTCACTGCTGGTACCACTATCTCTAACTCCCTCTTCATTTCCCCATTTTTCCTTAGTAGCTCATCTCTTTCCTTCTGTAGGTTATTGCGCTCCTTCACAAGTTCCATGAACTCTTGGGCTAGCGCATTCACTTAAGTTGTAGTCTGCCACATCAACAATAACTAGTTAAAAAAAAAAAAAAACAAAACATACACCACTAACAATAGTTATTATCACTAAGTTTACCCAAAGAGCATGCCTCGCAACTGAGGTCCTTCCATGCATCAACGCTTTCTCTCTTGCTTGGCGATGATCAACTTTAGGCACATATGCGTTGATGAAATTTTTCGCTGCTAAAAAATTTTACTCCCAAAAACGCTACTTTGGAGTGAAGGAGTGGGAACTACTGCCTTACCCTTACCGTGGGTGGGAACCTCAACCTCTCTAAGATTAGGATCAAGCTCAATCGGAGCCGGTTGAGGTACGAACTCCACTACCTCGTCCCCCCTGACCTCATCCTTCACTCCTCTTCTTCATTTGAGCTTGATCCATTTCATCCCTTTTCCTTTTAGACCTCAACTCCTCTACCTTTTCAACTCGGACTTCTATACTTGACATCTTCCTTTCTCCTTGTTCCCATCTCATTTCTCACTCGTAGCATTTTCTAAAGTCTTGGACTTATTCCTTGGCTTTTTGGGAATAGCCACCCCGCCAATAGCCACCCCGCCAATAGCACCCAAAAATTTGTTCATTTCTATTGCAAAACAACAATTATGTTAAAATCCACAAATCAGAACTAAACTCTTACACACATGACACAAGGTACAAACACACCTTCACTTATTGAGCTTGGCCTATAGAGCTCAGCTGCTTTTATAACATCTGAGTTGGTGAGAAACATAATATCTATTATATCACCCTCTTTTCTCACCAGTTTCTCCACTTCTTCTTCCTTATCACTATTTAAACTATACTTATTCTGGTTGGCCTTTTTAGCCTTCCAAGTAGACAGAAATTCTACTTCTCCATCCCCCCTTTCTCACTCGATATCATCCACAAAGAAAAATTTTTCCTTCCATCCTTTAATGGATGAAGTTCCTGCACTAAACAGGTTCCTTTTTTCTTTGTTAGATGACCGAGGTGTAAAATAGTATCACCCCTTCTCCTTTCTACTCCCAGCCTTAAGCACAAAAAAGTGCTTAAACATACTCACTGTGGGTACCCTAACCCCCTTAGGTTGGTAGTACACTATAAACCCAATTATTACCCTTACTTCGTTGGGAGACAATTGGGTCAAACCCACACTAGACTCTAAAAACAACCATACTAACAAATCTGGTCATGGAAACCTAAGCCTACAGCCAAATAATGGGCATACATCGGCATCCAGTGATCTTGGGGTGCCAAGCATGCCCTTTCCTTCACTCCAACAGGCCTAACCAAAACCCGAGAAGAAATCTCGTAAGTCTCTACGAGATGAATTAGGCTATCCCTACTTCTAAGTTCAAACTCATACTCCTTTACCTCAGATACAATGTCTGCCCCACTATCATAAAACTTATTATTCTTATCTCCAACTTCCAAAATATTTTCAAGAACCCCTTCTGCCTCAACCCCAACAACCTCATTTCGTGCTACCCCTCCCTCTGTTCGCTCAGACTCAGACAACCCACCCTCCACACTTACATCACTGTACTCCAACATTTTCACTTCCTCGCTCCCCATAATGCTCAATGTTTCCTTAGAAGACATCTCATCAGTCTCGCAACTTTCACTGCACAGAGTAGGGGGAGGGATGTAGTCAGGATCTTCAAAAAACTCTAACTCACGCTCAATATCACTTTCACTCCTAACCCTAACCTCCTTAAGAAGGCTTATACCTAAATCGGAAAGGGTGAGAGGAGAATAAAATTCACCACTAGAACTTGAATCACAAAAGTTCATAAGTTACTTGATTTCAATAATGTAGAACGAGTTTCGAAGTCGAAAATGTAAAACACAAATCGCTCACACCACCACTGTAGAGATTTTGGCAGCACTTTGGTAGCAAATATGGAGAAAGTAAAACTCTTTTTATAGAAGTATAGCTATATATACCAAAGGAAATATATGCCTCAACGGCTTTGATTAATTTCATCTGACGGTCATAGTTACACCGTTTCGAATTTGACGGTTAATCCCTAATGGAAATCTCTCAAATTCGACAGTTCGTCTTCCATTTCGTGTGTTTAACAGTAGCAGTTATTTTTTTACAACTCGTATTTATTGTACATGTCTTTCAACAGACAGTTGTCACGTTACGTATTAACTCTACTTCAAACTTTTTTAACGGGCCCAATTAAGCCCACCCAACACTTCTGTTCATTTTCACAATAACATTTTTCAACTTTACAAGTGTTTCACCTCGGCTCTAGCCACAATGACTATGGTCGTCACTTGTTACCTTGGTTCCGGCCATAATGACTACAGTCATCACTTGTTACTTCGGCTCCGGCCATAGTGACCCCATGTCACATATCTTACTACAGCTCCGGCCACAATGACTTTGATCATCACTTGTTACCTTGGCTCTGGCTGTAATGCCTACGGTCATCGCTTGTTATTTCGGCTCTGGCCATAGTGACCACATGTCACATATTTTTCTTCGGCTCTGGCCATAGTGACCCCATGTTACATATTTTACTTTGGCTCCGACCATAGTGACCCTGTGTCACATATCATACTACGGCTCTGACCACAATGACTAGTCATTACTTTTTACTATGTCCACGATCACAATAACTTCAGTCATTACTCTAGTTACTGTGATCCCGCGTCACGTTTCATTTCGAACATGGCCACCATGACCTCGTGTCACATATTCTACTATTAGTTACAGCCATACCTGAATTTGAGTTACCAATTTTTATTATAACTCCAGTAACTCATCTATTATATTCTTTCGTTCTTCTTTTCACCTAACTATACACTACTCCCATCACCTCTAACAATATCATTCACGAGTGAATGACTTCGAGGGGGAATAGTGTAAGGATAGGTCCAAGGTCCTTAACCTCGGATGTACTACTATAGTTCCTTAATAATTGAAGTGAAGTTAAATCCAACACTTCCTGGTTAAATGGCTACATGATAAATACAGTGAACATGCCCACACCTAATTTACATAATTTCCCGGTCCCAAAATAATCGCCTAAAGGATCACGTCGCACTCCGATTATCTTGTTAAGCGAGCCACGTGGACACTTCACTAAGGCCTATAAATACCCCCCAAGGGCCACCTCAGAAAGGTAATTGAAACCAACCTAAAGCTCCTTTTTCATTATTCTAAAAAGGTAGATCCGATTATTGTTAACTTAAGCATCAGAGTGTCTACCTCAAGGACCTACCTCGGGGCTTTGCAGGTTCATTTGAAGTGAAGACGTGGACTGAAGAAGGACTTCTGGTTTGGTGCAATTACAAGATGTTTATTGGTTGTATCCTTCTCACAAACGTGATTTCTTTCTTCATTTGTTTCCCTCGTGTTCTGTATATATAATTGTTAAGAATTATGCTAGTAATTTTTTTTGTCTAATTAAATTAGGTATTCGTGTATCATTAAAAGTTTCTACTTGTGTGATGATATAGATACTTATGAAATAGTTTTTGTTTCCTATAATTCAAAATAATCACTTGCAAATCTTTAAAATTTTAGGAAAAAGTCATATTTGTTTAATTCATGAACCCCTTTTTAGGATTTGCTATTATTTATCTTATGGGATGCACTAGATAGAAACCAAAAAATAAACAAATAAAAACAGAAACTTTTCTTGGGAAATATGAAATTGGTGTTAGCACAAAAAAAAAAAGAAAAGGAAACAATAACAGAGCCCCTTTTTTATTTTTTATTTTTATTGGAGTGATTTTTTTGTTTATTTTCGCAATTATTATTTTGATAAAATTTGAAAATTTCCCAAATCTAAAGTTTATGGTAACCATATTATATGGAAACTATGGGGTGTTAATACATTCTCCATGTTTAACCGACCCTCCAACCTTAGTCAATCTTTATATAGATTTTGGTGATCTATCCCACCTCATTTGGAATTTTGGATAGATGGTAATTTCATCTATTTTGACACATCAATAATATATACCATGAATTGAACAAAAACTAAAAATGAGCCAATGTAATTTGTGCAACAATAGTGATAAATGGATTCAAAAGTTTCTATGTAAATTAAAGAATTTCATTAAACATAATATATTTTTATCTATTTAAATTCCCATAGAGATATAGTGAGTTAATAAATGAAGATAGTATTGGTATAACCTAAGAAGATATATCGAATAGGATAGGAAGTCACATTGTACATAAATAATAAATATATTAAAAGCATAATAATACAAAATCTATATTGATTAATAATAGTGAAGTCAGATGCCTTAATACCTCATGTCTTAATTAGATTTTATTTTAGTTGGTTATTCTTTTTAGTTATTCTTAACTAAAGTTTTTTTCTTCTCTATTGTTCAAATAATTCTAGGGTCAATAATTTTTTGCATTTAGTTAACAACAATGCTTGTGGATTTGGCATTCTACTTATCATTATATTATTTGAAACAATTAGTTCATTTGCTAAAGTAGATTTTAGCCATCATTGTCTAGGCAAGTTCGTAGCTAGCGATGGGCTCAAGTCTGACAGGGGTGCAATTGTTCCAACATTTGTTCTAAAGCAACTAGAAAATCCCTCCGATTTTTTGCTCCTTCTTCTCGCATTACACTAGAATTTTTTGCGAAAGCACACTACAAGCCAACTAAGAACCTAATCATGAGTTCTGTCATATGACTAAAAGACTCAACCTAATACTCATAAATTTTCTGTGCAAAGTTATTTTGTTCCCTTCTCAACATTACTATCTGCTTAGACATGCTTTTGAAAAGCAAATTACTTGATTAAGTGCCATGATCCCCAAAATCACGATCCTTTCTTTTTTTGATCTTGATCACATAATGGGAGGCAACTATCTCCTATCCCTTATCCCACCCCACCTGCATGCCATGCAACTCGAACTCATGATCTCTTACTTTCAATAGAATGAGATAACTACTAAGTTATTTAGGTCATTGGCCACGATCCTTTCTTTTTGAATGTTGGATTTGTAAAGGACCATTCCCTAATAAGTGAAAGCAGGGGAAGTGCAATAAGTTCATTCTTACCTTTTGAATGATTTGGGCTTCCATTGTCATGTACAATATAGGATGATTAAACTCCTATTCTAGTGTTCTTTCTAGGTGGCACGGCTTTGCCTATCTTTGAATAGAAGAAAAGTGGTCTAAGAAATTTAAGTGAGACACAATGGCGTCCTGTTGGATGTGCCACTAAAGGATGGTTTCCTAAATGAATTGTCAAGTGGCTCTTGTGTATAGACCTAAGTGTGAACATGCTACTGGCTTTTTTGCAAAACAAGAAAGAAAGATTTTCCCAATGACCCTTTCTCCTTCCACATAGTTGTCCCCCATTCATTAGGATGGTTGGAAGAATGTTGGTTGTAAAGTTAAGTTCTACACTTTCAAACAATGTTCAAGTGGAAGGATTGCCTTCTTCCTACGAAATGGGTTACTAATTTATCTTGGATAATTCTAGGGGCTATAAACTCTATTGTGAATTTAAAATCAACATATTCTAAATACATTAATGGTGTGTCTGGCAACATGAATTTTCATACAGTGTATTTGAATTTCAACCTTTGAAATTCAATACTATTGTTTATTTTTACATAAATAAAAAGTAATTAGATTTAAGTGAAATACATATATTTTATCAAAGTAATTTAGAAGAATAAAACCCATGTATTTCAATTTCACCCACAAACCCATGAATTTCAATTTGAAATTCAATTTGAAAAGGAATTTCCTCTCCACTCTCTCCTCTCACCGACGGTGATGAAGCCTCCATCGTCCGTCATCATCGACTTTGCCATCGCTCTCTGACCTCGTCTACCACTCGATTCCAGTTCCGATTCTGATTTTGAGGTCTCCTTTTCTGCCTTATCTCATCGCAACCAGTGCTCGCCACCTCTCTTCTCCTTCTCTCCGATCGGTAAGAGTTTTCATATATTTCCATTTTTGTTGTGTTCTTGACTTCTTTATTTTCAACCAAGAGGATCCACAATCTATGCACCATACACTGCAACATCAAAGAAGCCCTTCGCCTCCTCGACTTCCTTTGCCTACCTGGCTACCTCCTGGATTCCCTTAATCTCAGTAGCATTATTCACACCCTTTGCAACCCCAACTGATTCCCAGAGGCTCACCATCGTTTTCTTCTATCCTTAGCTTCTGGTTAGCCCCTGATGAGCGCACCTATAATGTAATAATTGCTTGGTTACTAGATTCCAGAACCCCACAGAGCACATTTCATGTTATACGGTCTATACTTGATGTAAAGCCCGAGTTTGTGCCTTCTTTGATTAGCTATAATCATTTGATCGACCAGTTTTGTACGGTTTATTCTATAAATGTGGCACATAGGTTGTTTTTTGATATGACGAACAAGGATCATTGTCCTAATGCTGTTACGTATACTACTGTGATAAATGGGTATTGTAAAATTGGTGACTTGGGCACTGCGCACAAGCTGCTCGACGAAATGCGTGAGTGTGGTGTGGTGCCCAATTCGCTCACTTATAGCGTGTTGATTCGCTTGGTGTTTAGAAGGCGAGATGTTGAATATGGGAGGGAGTTGATGCGCAAGCTATGGGAGAGAATGAAGGACGAAAATGATCCCAGTTTGAACACTGCGGCCTTTGCCAATCTCATTGATTCTTTGTGTAGAGAGGGGTTCTTCAATGAAGTTTTCAGGATTGCAGAGGAAACACCTCAAGGAATAAGTGTGAATGAGGAACTTGTTTATAGGCATATGATTGATGCTCTTTGTAGAGCTGGAAGGAACCATGGTGCTTCAAGGGTTATCTATATAATATTAAATTTAAATAATAAGTAGAAAAAAATTTAATTTAATAGAGAAATTCAATTTTAAATATATAATATTTTAAAATATCAAAATAATATATTTAAAAATGCATGTATTTAAAATTCATTTTTTTTAATTCAATTCAAACAATGTATTTTAAAATACACTTATTTTAATTATACTCATCAAATTCAAATTCAAGTTCCCAAACACAACCTAAATAAAATGCAAACTTCAACAAACTTGCAAACAAAAGATGCATCCAATTGAACTTAATTATGAACATTGACAAATTAAGCTACAAACTACTAACAGATTTGATCATGCTACTGCAGAACTAAAATTTAATCAAACTATTGAATCTAATTGAAACTAAATGATCATGGAACTAAAAAGAACATACGGTAAACTAACATGCCAAACACTGGAATGAAGAATGAACATTATATAAGTAATTATTTGAAGAAATGTTATTTATCATAAATCGCAAATGAACATATTTTAGAAAAGATGCATTACCTTGCAAAAATTGAAATAGTTGCCATTTATTACATGAAGAAAGACCATTGAATTAACTACACAAGTTAGATTAGATTGGCTATTTGAATGTTGAAATCAACCTAAATCTTTTGATAATTGTGCTAAAAACTAAAATCTATAGGTTATAATAAGTGATTACTATGAAGAACTAATAGTTGTAAAGCTGTTTTTGAGTTATATGTAGAGTTAGTCATGTGTTAAATGATAAAAAAAACTTCTCTTTTGTTTGTTTGATGGAAGCTTATAACTGCCTACTTCTTGATTGTTGCAGGGCCTGAGTGGTTGCCTAGGGAAGTTGGACCCCTCAGCAGTACTTAGTCAGAACTCTTCTTAAATCTTGCCACATATCCCTGTCTTTTCACTAATGTCTACCAACCCAACTCCTTAGACTAAATTTCTCCTAAATTATAGCAGTTACTCGTTTGACTCAAATCAAATTGGCAATTAAATGGACAATCCCAATCTAATTGTAATCAATTCTCCATGTAGCAAGTAATTTGTCAAACCCCAAAATGGCAGATCTGACGAGCCCTCATATCATCCATTCATTCAAAATAAATGACACGTGATATCATTTTAAAATTTTAAAATTTTATAATTTATGAAGTAAACACATACTTTCCTTTTTTTTATCTCCACATAAGACATTTTCAATAATTAGGATTAAATATATACTACATATTAGTATTTATTAAACAAAAACATCATTTTCTAATAAACTCCAACTAACGGTTAGATTTAGTATTTTATTCATATATATTATACATGTTAATTTTTCAAATTGATTAAATATATTTAACTTTTTTACCTTTAATTAAATATATAACTAATTTATTGATTATATAAAATTTAATATCATTAAAAATATATTAAAAATGTAAATTTTTTAATTGAATGATTATAAATATTAAATTAATTTAAAAATTAATATTCATGATGTATATCAATGGAACATTAAATTTAATAATTAGTTTTTAAAAATTTTTATTAAAAAATAATATTTTTAATATTGAGATTCTAATTTTTTAATAAAAATATGCAAGATTAATATGTACAATTAATATTGAATTTCCCAAATTCAAAAATAAGACAACTAAGGGCAGTAATTTATTATATAAATAGATTACTTATGTGAACTTCTTTTACATTTCTCCCAATCAAACCAAATCACAATTCTCTCACTTTTCTTTTTTTTAAATGAGAAACAGAATTTTATTGAGATAAAAAAAAAATAAAGGTTATAGGATTAACTCAAATGGTGTAATATATTAGAGGTATTATATTTATAAAATGTATGAAATAATGAAATTAAACAATTTATTATCAATATAAATCTTGCAACTAGACTTGAACTTTAAATTTAATTGTTAAATTACGTTTTAATATGATTCATTTAGATATAAAATAAACTAGTTTTGCAATAGAAAAATTAAGGTAGGGACATGCCCCTAAACCATGTTTTCAACAATTCAAATAAGCACAATAATTGATTTAAATCCAACTAATATTATGTTTAAATTGTCATTTTCCTCAAAAATATTGAGAAAGTGAAAGCAAAAATCCTTAAAAAAAAAAAAAAAAGAGAAACCTTCATAAAAGAGGTAAAAGTCCCTTATAAGAGTTAAAGAACTCTTATATTTAATTATCTACCTTAATCGTTAAGGAGAAGCTAATGGAAACAAAGTAAAAGAAAAAAAAACGAGAGGATAAAAATAAAATTAAGTTGAGAGAAGGGCAGGATCGATTTATTTTTTTATAAAATAAAATTTATTTATATAAGTATAAGTGGTATTCTAACATATATAAACAACTTACTACATGCCACTTATCTCATTAATCTGTCTTCCAAATCTTTTTCTTTCTCTTTTCTTTTTCATATCTCTCTTGCAAAGATAGAACAACAAATTTAAGGAATTTTTATTTGGTTGTAATAAAATTAAAATTTAATTCCTACTTGTGTGGATTTAATTTGACCCAACATTTAGGTTTATATCCATTTTTTAATATAATATATTTAGAGGACGTGGATAAGCTCATGGAATTGGCTAGGGCCTCAGGGCAGTCAACATATATTTAACTAATGCAATGTCATAAAAATCCATTTTGTTACAAGAGTGTGCTTGCTTTAATGAAATTATAATGAATAACATTATTGTTTTAAAAAACATTTTGAATTAATATGTAATGGATCAATGTATTTACAAAAAAAAAAAAAAAAGTTGTCAACTCAAATTGTATTGCACCAAAAAAGAAGCATGCTTGGTCGTGGGTGGACTTCATAACTTAAAATAAACGCAAAAAAGATAAGCATGCTCGGTTCGTTGACTTTGTGACTTAGAACAAACGCACAGAAGAGAAGAGTGCTTAGTCCGTTGACTTCATTACTTAAAATAAAGGTCACAAACACAGCTTATGTAACTAACCATTTATTAATTTAAGTGAAAAAAATTTAATATTTTTAAATAAAATTTTAAGTTTAAGTATTATAAATTAAAAAATAAATGTTAGAAGACCTTTCATTTCAAAGAGTACGAACATACTTAATTTCAAACTAATTTACACTTAATATGAATTTAAGATTTGCAAATTTAATAATTTAAAAAAAAAAAGGATATATAAATTATATATAAAGGCAGCATGCGAGCAATGCTAGGATTGTCTCACAGATTTTCGAGTCTGAGATCACTTCCTTCTTCATCTTTCTTTTGATCTTGGTTTAAGATTCCATTTTTCTTCTTCGGTCGATTTGTTATCAGATTCTTGTTCTTCCAAATTCCTATCCTGTTCCTTAATAGCGCTATAATTTGAAGCTGTTTACAGCCATGGAAGGCAAGACCAATCCATGGTTGGTGTTGTGTCTACTCTTCCTCTATTTCTCTCTCAATCCCTGTGTCTCCTCCGGAGCTGATACCATCTCCATCAACCAATCTCTCTATGGTGACAAGACCATTGTTTCCGGCGGCGGAGTCTTTGAATTGGGTTTCTTCAATCCAGGTAACTCCTCCAACTACTATATAGGCATGTGGTACAAAGTTTCTGAACAAACCATAGTATGGGTTGCAAATAGAGAGAAACCTGTCCGAAATCCAAATTCTTCAATTTTGAAGATTTCTAATGGGAACTTGGTTCTTTTCAATGAATCTTAACCTCCTATTTGGTCCACAAGCATAAGCTCCATTGATTCAAGTTCTGTTGGCAGCTGTTCTTGGAGACGATGAGAATTTGGTTCTAAGAAATGGGCCTAATTCAATGTCTTATTTATGGCAAAGTTTTGATTTTCCTACTGATACATGGCTTCCTGGTATGAAAATCAGATTCGACAAGAAGACTCATCACAGCCAGCTTCTTACGTCATGGAAAAATTCCAAGGATCCTGCTCCAGGGCTCTTTTCTCTTAACCTTGATCCAGACGGGTCCAATTCTTATATCTTACTGTGGAACAGGTCTGAACAGTATTGGACTAGTGGACCCTGGGACTGGGAACGAAAGTTCTTCAGCTTGGTTCCTGAAATGAGATTGAATAATATCCACCATTTCAGCCATGTTAACTTTGTTAACCATGAAAATGAAAGCTATTTCACATACACTCTCTATAATTCTTCTACCATATCTAGATTTATTTTGGATTTTTCAGGGCAGGTTATGCAGCTGTCATGGATGGAGAGCACTCAGAAATGGATTTCGTTCTGGTCAGAGCCTAGACAACAATGTGAGGTTTATGCTTTTTGTGGGGCATTTGGCAGCTGCAATGAGAAGGCGTTGCTTTCTGTAGCTGCTCACATGGGTTTGGTCCAAAATTGGATAGTGATTGGGACTTGAAAGATTATTCTAGTGGATGTGTGAGGAAAACCCAACTGTTGTGCCAGAATGCCACTCTAGTTAATGGAAAGAGTGACAAGGTTCGGGTAAACCCCAACATGGCTTTACCAGAACATCCAAAAACTCTCGTGGCTGGAAGTATTAAGGAGTGTGAATCTGCCTGCCTCAAGAACTGCTCTTGCACTGCTTATACTTATGAGAGCAATGGGTGTACAGAGTCTGGTTTGGGGATCTCTTGAATCTGCAACAGCTTGAAGGTGATGATAGTAAAGGGAAAACTATCTAGATTAGACTTGCAGCTTCCGAATTTACAAGTTCCAAAAGCTGTAAAGCAATAATTATCGGTGTTGTTGGGGGTTCAGCGGGGCTACTTCTGTTTGCCCTTATGATGCTTGTATTATTCAGCCAGAAAAAGAGAACAAATGAGGCTGCAAAGGTAGTAGAAGGTTCTCTAATGGCTTTTGGTTACAGAGATTTGCAAAATGCCACAAAGAATTTCTCTGAAAAACTAGGGGGAGGAGGCTTTGGTTCTGTTTTCAAAAAAACATTACCGGATTCCACTGTCATAGCTGTCAAGAAGCTAGAGAGCGTCACTTAGGGGAAGAAGCAGTTTCATACAGAAGGCAACACAATTGGGACAATCCAGCATGTCAATCATGTTAGGCTTCGAGGGTTCTGCTCTGAAGGTATGAGGAAATCGTTGGTCTATGATTACATGTCAAATGGTTCTTTAGATACTCATCTTTTCCATGAAGAGGATTGGAATGTTGTGGACTGGGAAACAAGGTACAAAATTTTGTTGTGAATAGCAAGAGGTTTGGCTTACCTCCATGAGAAGTGTAGAGATTGTATCATTGACTGTGACATAAAGCCAGAGAACATTCTTTTGGATGCAGAATTCTATCCAAAAGTCGCAGACTTTGGCTTGGCGAAGCTTGTTGGTAGGGACTTCAGTAGGGTCCTAACAACCATGAGAGGGACAAGGGGCTATCTGGCACCAGAGTGGATTGCAGGGGTAGCCATAACAACCAAAGTAGATGTTTACAGCTATGGAATGATGCTTTTTGAGTTTGTATCAGGAAGAAGAAACTCTGAACAAACTACTAATGGGAAAGTTCAATTCTTCCCAACTTGGGTAGCAAGCATTGTAACCCAAGGAGGTGATGTCCTTAGCTTGTTAGACCCTAGGTTGCATGGAAATAATGCCAATATAGATGAAATCTCAAGAATTTGTAAAGTGGCTTGTTGGTGCATCCAGGATGATGAAACTCGTAGGCCATCCATGGGCCAGGTAGTGCAGATTCGGGAGGGGGCTTGTGGAAGTGAACTTGCCCCAAATCCCCAGATCTCTTCAAGTGTTTATGGACAGCCAGGAGCACATAGTTTTCTTCACTGAAACATTCTCAAGCTAAGGTCCATTAGTTCATAGAAATACTTCAACTGCCTCTTAGACTAAGAGCACCACATCCTCAATGAATTTGTAAATCATAAAAAGAATAGACAAAAGTTATTAGGGATATTCTATTTCAAATTTTTTTCCTAGTTTGTAAGTCATCCTTTTTACGATGCACTACCTAGCGGGAACTTTGGTTCTTAGCGCATAAGATATGGTGAAACTAGTTATAACAATCCTTATATTTCAATAGATATACCTTTTTTATGAGATAAGCCAATTCATTGAAACTTTCATGGAAAGATGGATGGAGAAGGAAAATAAGTGTTTGAACTCTAGCCATATGTTAAAATTTGTGAAATTATAGGTTTAAGTGTACTCAATTGACATTTCTAATTATGGTTTAAGATTAACATTTTTCTATAAATAATTTTATAAATATTAGTTTTATTGATTATGCACTTTTTGGTACTTGAAGGTTGAATGATTAAATGAAGAAAATTGAAAAAAAGTGAACTTCATTCCAAAGAATCAGAAAAATGAAGGTTGAAAGGTCAAATCTTGAAGTTTGAAAGCTTAACTGGGATTTCTCCATTTTTAGCCCAAGAAAGTTGGCGCAAGTAAGAACGCAAGAAAATTCCAGCACTACTCTTCAGGTTTCAACACTTTTGAGGCGTTCATGCATCATTTGGAATTAGTAATTTCAAAAGTTCTGGAACCAACTTTTGGATTTTGTAGGCTTATTAAAAAAATAAAAAAAATAAAAACTTTTGGATTTTGTAACTTGATTGCTAGAAGTAGACAGCAGAAAATCAATAGCTTCAACGGTTGTGAAATTTATTGACAGAAGGTGCAAATTTAGCTCTTCCACTTCACTTGTTGTGGCATGTCAGGCCTTCTACTAAAAAATAGTGCAAATCGACCCCTTTGCCTTAATATTGCCCCGTTATTATAGAAGCTTACGTGGGCTGACTGAGACATGACTTGGCCAAAAAAATAAAAAAGAAATACACAACTTGCCTTCCTATTGGCATTGGGATCCGATTATTGCCATCAATACATTGTACATGTATTAATGCCTCGAGAAAGGAAATTATTTTGCCTTAATTGACTATTTTACCCCTTTCTCCCTCGAAAACAAACTTTTCTCTTCTATCTTCCATATTAAGGAGTGTTCATATTCGATCCAATTCGATTGATCTCTTTCAAATTAACCTAATCCAATTAGAAATCAAATCAAACCAATATAAAATTATGTTGATTCGAATTATAAAATTTTAAAACTGATATAATTGGTTTAGTTTGTGATTTTACCTTTAAAACAATCGAATAAGCCAATTACAAGATAAAGTCTGATTACAAGATAATTTAATTAAATAATATAATATATTTTTTTGTAATAGTTAAAATTTTTTTCCTTGTTTCACAGGATAATAATTTCATTAAATTAATTAAAAAATAAAAATAAAGCATCCATCTTTCTTCAAAAATCTTCTCCTTTTGGCTGCGAGTGTCAAAAGTTGCTCACGCATGCCACTTGCTTTGCTCATAGCAAGAAAGAAGAATTTCTGAGGACCCTCACTTCTTCTAAGCATAAGAACTCATTTAAAAGTCAATTGAAGAATACCATTTGATTAAAAAATTATGCCAATAATACCTTGATCAGACGATTGTAGCAAAAATTGGGGTGCATTTTTGCATAAAGGTTCATATATAATTGCTTTGGAAGAACATCAAGGACATCCTACATCTAGGGTTACAATGAAGTTAGTTTGTTAAGCAAAATAAGTAGAAATAAGAAAAGGAAAGGATGAGTCCATGGCAGAAATAAAGGATGATCTAAGGCTAAAGTAATAGAAGGACATAAAATTAAAGAACATGATAAAAATCTTAAAATGTTGCTAATATTAAAATCTAAGAGTGCTAGCAAAAATGTATATCAAAATTGGCAGAAATATAAAGAACTAGCTATCAACAGAAATGAAATGAAACTAAGATCTTTAGTTAAAATCTTAAGAAAAATTACAGCTAGAGGTTGAAATATAAATTTGTAAATGAAGCAGAAACTAAAGCTTGACAACTAGACAATAACGTAAATTATTAATAGAAATGCGAAGTATACTGGCATAAGAAGACCAACTATATTAAATCTAACTGCTACAGCTAACTTAACCAAAAACAACAAAAACAAAGAACCCATTGAGGGAGTTGAACCTCTTCTACACTAACTCAAAGTTGTTGTATGAGCTTTGAGCTAAGACATGTTGAAATGTAGATGTTGTTAAAAGGGGTAGGCCTTCTGAAAAATGTGTTGAAGGGTTGTATTTATAGGCCTCCATAACTAAAACTGGTTGTCAAAAATCAGATTTGATCTTGATTTTATCCAACTCCCCTATTATAATGCTTGACCAAATCAAAGGAATGTTAATAGCTTTGAATCCTTCCTTGCAAAATGGGTTTCTACCATGTATCATTTAGTTGTTAAGAACAAAATTTTGGTTGTTAGCAATTTCTAGAATCAAGCTTATTGTAATTGTTGATTTTCTTAACTAAGCTGAACAATTCTACACCATATCAACAAACTCCCTAATTTTGTGAAACCTTACCTTCTCCCTTTTGTTTCTGCCACATGGAAGAAATTCATTGTACCAAAATTTCTCCTTATTGTGGACTGCATCACACCAAATCATGCCTATTGATCATCTTTTAAATTTCCAATTGTATGAAAAACTTGTGGCCATTGGATCTTTATTAGGGACATGTGGCATCATTAAGAAAATTGTCGAATGTGGTGTAAACAATGCCCCCTAACACCTTACTTCATAACTTCAAAGGAGTTGGAGTAAGGTGTTTGTGTAATAAACTCAACAGCCTTTTGACTACATGGTCACGTTTCTTACTATCTTCAAAATTGCAGAAAATTTTAGCTAACATTCTTCCTTTTCTTTCAACACTTTAGAAAAATATCATAGTAGACACAACAGCTATTGAAGAAATGAGCTAGTTAGAAATATGCCTTCTTGCATTGAAACATCTTAATTTCTGGAGAAAATGAGCAACAAGTTGTTAGAGAGGCAAGTGGTTGAATTGACAGAAATAGCCAAACTAGCCTTCAAAGAGATGTTTTCTTGTCATTTTGTTTTTTGCCAACTAACTAAAACATGCCTAAGCCTAGCAAATTCTAACCACAGGCAAAACTCCTATAGGCTGCTTATTGCAATGTTAGCACACTTATTGAAAGAAATTTATTTGGGAAAGCAAAATGAAAATAAAAGCTTACTTCAACCTAAACCTGTCTCATTTCAACCTAAACCTAGATTAAGCAAAAGTAGAGAATTATGTGGCTTCATCTTGATTGATGACTTCTAGGCCAAAAGGCAATGTGGCCAAAGTATAAGCCACTTATTCTAGTGAGATGTGAATTTCTACCAAGAACTTTGGCCAAGAATGTGCCTTTGTTTAACACCTTATGAATTTGCAATGGACTCTTGGTAGAGCATTTCCCAAGCTTTAGTTCTTTTCTTCCAAGTGGAAAAGATGCTTGGTATAGAGTTTGTGGAAAAGTCTTTCCCAACTTCTTTCCTTTGTTTTCCTTTGTAGAAATATTTGTCATGCTTTCTTTACTAACTTCTGCCACTCCATTGCTAGAAATCTCAATTGATTTTTCTGTATAGAAAATCCAAGGAAAAGTTAGAGTAGAGAGAGGAAGTTTGATAGAAAAGTTACCAAATTTGGATCATTTCACCTTTATCAAACTCCTTAAATGAAATATGTCTAGCAAGTCATTTTTGTTGCTTCTAACTGGATTGTATACAAGACTTCTACCTAGGTAGTTGTATCTTGTCTTTGGTTTTCCACCTATATGAGCTTCTACCTTATAGGTAGTTGTGGTTTCTGGTAAGCATTGACCTTTGTAGTTGCTTGCCTTCATTGTTCCTTAGCCTTCTTCTTTTGCAATCTCCTCTAAAGAGTTCTTGGATTTTAGGTAAGGAACTTTGGGTGGGTTAGTTATGTCAAACTACCATTAGGTTTCCCAAATGGTTGTTTGACCATCTTTGATTAGTGGATATATTGCACATTTTTTGGATTGGAACACCTTCTAGCAATATCTCTGCTTTTGCCAACACCATGCCCCTCTTGCCTTCTTTGCCAAAAATGGTTCTATTGGACCTAGTGATTTCTTCTTTCTTTTAGTGTCCAACAAAGGTGATTAGGTGACAACCTACTTCTATCAAATGGCTGATATTGAGGTTGAGAGATGTTGCTCAATTTTGCCATGTTGATCTTGCATATGTCACAAAAGTCTTTGTTAGAAACCTTTGAATAGGGCTAGTGGCATGTTGGACAAGCTAAAGGTTGAGATGTAGGCCTATATGCACTTTGTAGCTGCTTCTGAGGTGGTGGAATTATCATTGGTTATTTTACTAGAAGTTGAGGTAAATAAACATCTTTTTGCCTTGGCATAATTGGTTGGATCCCTAACTTGGCACCATGGCGATAACTTTTAACTTCTTCCATAGCTTCTATTACCCTTTCTACCAAGTTGTGTCATCTTTATTTCTAACTTCAGTCTGGACATGCAAAAATTGTGAATCATGTTGATTTGGTTACCTATAGAGATTGAAAGGATTTCTTCTCCTTATGGTATAATGACTTTGACCTTGAGCCACTTTGTATATTTGAACATAGAAAGGAGTCAACCACTTGGCAAAAATGGTTGCCATTGACATTCCTTAAGTTTGGTAGAAAAAGTGGTAGAAACATGTTTGTTAGTCTTTAAGGAAGAAGACTTAAGTGAAGCACATACCTTACTAGAGTTCTGTAATGATGGTTTGCATTCTTGATTGCCAAAACTCTAATTAAAACCCCCTAAATTTCTGTCAATAAATGAAAGCTAGTTATTAGAGGAACTTTGACCAGTAAATGGCTAAAATATGTGCCATTGCTCAAGTTGATGCTCTTCAAGAGTGGAACGAGAGTTGCTATATGTCTCCACAAAAATTGGTTGAGTTAAAGACTTACACCCAGAAACTTTGGCCTGGGCTTCTTCGCATCGCTAGCCATAGAAATGATTTTAGCCAACATGTTGAACCTGATC